CCCCCGCCAACCCCAGCAACATCTCAGCCCAGCTAACAACCCCCCAACCGCTCCACAAGACTTTGCCTCTGCCTTTGCCTACTTTGTCGTTGTTGCCACTTTGCTTCTTCAACTTATTTACGTCTCCATTACAAATAATTGCGCGTCATATTGGCTCAGCTATGCTTGCGAAAGCACACCCCCACCCAGCTACCCCTAGTAGCTTTTGCCTGCAAATACAAACGCCACGATGGAGCTGTAGCTGCTACAAATGTGGCCCCATTTTTCGCCTAGACAGCAGCTTGGCAACGCCCACGCACACACACCAACCGTCCAACCCTCCAACCCTCCAACCCCTACTGCTAGCCCTACTAAATGTAAGTAGTAAATACGCTCGAGTATTATTAACGTAAATGCAAAATTGCCAATTTCGAGTGTATTTCCTGTCAACAGAAATTTCTTTCTGCCAGTTTACAACAGCGTTCCGTCCTCCCTAGCCCACCCCTAGCCACCCTCAAGGTATTCAGCGATATAAAATTAAAAGCAAAAATATCCTCACTGAGAATTGCCAAGCGAAACTCGCGCTTTTATTTTATTTTTTCGTTTAGCCCTTGTCTCCCTCCTGTCGTGTTTGGTCTAGTTAACGTTTTTTTGGTGGCACCCGCGTGGCCCGTTTGTTAAATCGCGTTGTCTACGCAATGCCACAGCAGCCTGCTGCACCCCTCAGCGCCAAGCAGCGCCTTCCTGGTCTTGGCTTTTATTAATATGTCTGGCAATTTCAATTTGACTTTATTGGTAATTTTACATTTCGTCGTCTCTAAACGACTTGCAACTAGGCGCAGCTTTGTGGCATATTGCCAGCTGAGCTGGCGACTGAAGTGGGTGTACACGAGGTGAACAGTGGGTGTGGGGCCGCCCCTTCAGTCTGACTGACGAATGCGAGTAGCAAGGCCAATAACAAGCAAAATGTGCTGGCTTAGCTAGCTAGTCGTAAATATAATTGAGTACTGTGCGACAGACTCTACACATTGTTAGGTCTTAAATTGGGTGATATCGATAGTTATCGATAGGGCAACAGAACTAAGCAAACTGATGCTTAAGTTAGAGCGAACTGCAAATATATATTTACTTTAGTATATTTTGCCAAGGACGAATGTTCTTGTATGCAATGAATGCCATTTGTCTATGACAGTTATCGATAGTAATCGATATGCAATTGACAAATGTATAGAGTGCGATATTAATATAGCCTCTGTATTGTCAGCTAATGATAATTAGTGTCAGGTGCCTTATTCTTGATCCCTTTACAGTAATCGATGTGTATCAATAATTTGCTAGTGATCGATAGCAGTCGATATTTGTATGAAATATGTTAGCAAGAAATTAATTTGAAGAAATAGCTTAAATTCTAATGATTAATCATAGCAAACAACTCGTAAATAAGCTGTCTCGATATTCATGGATATCGAAACTTCAATTATTCAAAAATATAAATTGATCCGAGGCTAATGAATCGCTCATAAAACTAACCGTTAACTATCTGCTTACCACGCATACATACAAGCATGCCGCATACATATCACCTCCCTCGACCACGCTCCCACACTCCCCCGTCCAACAAATTGGCAAATTATCCCATTATGGACGCCCAGGGGTCAGGCAGTTAATGTAAATTCATAAAATAGGGAGAAAGATATCGATAACCGAACAGAACAGAACAAAGCCAGCTTCGGCAGCAGGAAAATTGCTTAATTGAACATTTAATTAACGCACAAAGGAGCCACTGAAGTGGCCAAAACTGGACAGGACGAACAGGCAAAAATGCAGAGAGAGAGAGAGAGAGAGAGAGGGTGGGAGGGACGTAGAGGCAGGCAGAGAAGGACTGTCTGCAGCTAGGTATAGATTACAATCGTAGAGCGTAAAAGATGCCAACTTCAATATCAAATTAATTTAGGCGGAAAATGAAGCTGGCAAATGGGAAAGAAAATAAAGTGAAAGCAAAGCCTGGAAACCAGCAACTGCACAGAGAGAAAGAGAAAGGAAGAAAGAAGAAAGGTGGCAGGGGAGACCGCAAAAAATATCGCATGACAGAAAATCAAGCAACTCATGGCGCCGATTCATTGACCAAGCGACAGGCCGAACAACAACAGCAGCAGAAGCAGCAGCAGCAAGAGCAAATTGAATTAGTGGCACAGCCGAATGAGAGAGAGAAAGACAGCAAATGAGAGAGAGGGAGTTAGCAGACGGGACAGGTCGCGACCAAGACTTAACAAGGCGAACAGCAGCCGACATCGATAGCTGACCAAAGTGGCTAACCGTGCAAAGCAGACCCTCCTCAACTAGGCTGGTCCGGTCTGGTCTGGTCACACACACACGCACACACCCTCTGCTACGCTCAACAAGTGGGCGGAGGCATTATTATTGCTTAGCTATTTATAAGTGTGTATGTGTGTGTGTGTGTGTGTGCGGGGCCAGCAACAACAACTGGACATTGGGCAGCTGTCGTTTAGCTAATTGTTAATTGATGTGTGTCTAATTGTGCCCGCCAAAGTAGCCAGGCAATAAAAAACAATCACAGCCACATGACAACAGCAACAACAAAGCCACAACAACAACAACAACAACAACAACAACAACAACAACAGCAACATTGACAGCAAACTGAGCAAAGTTCTCGCAGCCTCGAGGCTCCATTGAGCGCTAGACAGCTTTTTTTAAAGCCTTGTGTAGCTTATTATAATGCTGTAGCTAAATGTGTAAAGGTGTGATTTAACGCGAAATATATAAATATATATTTATACAGATATATATATATATATACACAATCTGAACTGCTTAGATCAGCCTTTAAGCTCGAAGCAAATGAAACTTTACATACAATCTCTGTGGAAACTAAGGAATTGCTTTAACATAAAGCTACTTTTGTCTTTAATTAGGCTGGAGCAAAACACTATATCATAGAACTACTTTCATTGCAAAGCAACTATATGACTTAGTACTGTGATATAGTGTTAAGATCTGTAGAATTTGCCAGACGAATCAAGCTTTTAGCATTCAGCTTTTTAGTTCTATCATAAAAGAAAAACTAGCTTTAGATAGAACAAAATAATACAAAGATATTTTGCTTAAAGAACTATATAATATATTTTATATTTAACTATATATTATATATCTAACTATATATAATATGATATGATATGATATATGTACATATATATAATATATATCTATATATGTCTCTAGTCTCTAGTCTCTAGTCTCTAGTCTCTAGTCTCTAGTCTCTAGTCTCTAGTCTCTAGTCTCTAGTCTCTAGTCTCTAGTCTCTAGTCTCTAGTCTCTAGTCTCTAGTCTCTAGTCTCTAGTCTCTAGTCTCTAGTCTCTAGTCTCTAGTCTCTAGTCTCTAGTCTCTAGTCTCTAGTCTCTAGTCTCTAGTCTCTAGTCTCTAGTCTCTAGTCTCTAGTCTCTAGTCTCTAGTCTCTAGTCTCTAGTCTCTAGTCTCTAGTCTCTAGTCTCTAGTCTCTAGTCTCTAGTCTCTAGTCTCTAGTCTCTAGTCTCTAGTCTCTAGTCTCTAGTCTCTAGTCTCTAGTCTCTAGTCTCTAGTCTCTAGTCTCTAGTCTCTAGTCTCTAGTCTCTAGTCTCTAGTCTCTAGTCTCTAGTCTCTAGTCTCTAGTCTCTAGTCTAGTCTCTAGTCTCTAGTCTCTAGTCTCTAGTCTCTAGTCTCTAGTCTCTAGTCTCTAGTCTCTAGTCTCTAGTCTCTAGTCTCTAGTCTCTAGTCTCTAGTCTCTAGTCTCTAGTCTCTAGTCTCTAGTCTCTAGTCTCTAGTCTCTAGTCTCTAGTCTCTAGTCTCTAGTCTCTAGTCTCTAGTCTCTAGTCTCTAGTCTCTAGTCTCTAGTCTCTAGTCTCTAGTCTCTAGTCTCTAGTCTCTAGTCTCTAGTCTCTAGTCTCTAGTCTCTAGCTAATAATCAATAGATACAAATATGCCATATATGGCTTATTAACTTGACAATTTTAGGTATTATTAAAATCATTTCAATTGTTGGCGAAAGTCTCGCTAAGATAAGTCACAAGCAGTGGAGTCGAGTGGCCCGGAAACTAATTTCGCTGATGGTGAAAAGTGAGACCAACATTGTAATCAACTATGTGTGTGTGTGTGTGTGTGTGTGTGTAGAGTATGTATATAATCACAATAGAACGCCCCGTGCGACACGCCTAAGCCGATTCCCGTTTAATTTGAGACCTAAAACGAAAGAAAGACGAAAAAAGGGCTAAACCACTTAACACCCTAACACCCTAATTGTCAAAACAAAGCGCACACGAAACACAACACACACATAGGAGAGGAGAAAGGTAGCGAGAGAGACAGAGAGAGAGGGAGAGGGAGAGGGAGAGAGAAAACATGAAACCATCTTGATGATTTGCTAGACCCGGTTGCAGTTGCGCCCTTAACGTTTCCTTTGAGCAGCATGAAAAGCCAAAAACAAAACTGGCTAAAGAAAATATTTTGTGGCAACATTTTCTAAGAAGCCAGAAGAGTGAGAGGGCGAGACAGGGTGAGAGTGAGAGTGGGAAGGGGGCAGAAAAGGACACGAGGACGTGCGCTTAACCCTTCGCTAACATTTGAATAAATCCTGGCAACTTGTCAAAATCTGCGCGCCTTTGAATGAAAGGCAAGCGAGCATGGAACAATTTTCCAGCTGTCGCATATCGTGTGCAAAAAATCTAGCTGGCGAGGAATAGTCTCTGGATATATACATATATATATATTTTCTATTGAAGCCAGGATGAGCGCTCGTATGTCGTATGACATGCTCTATTGTCAAACATTTAAAGGAAATGGGATTGGCATTGGCATTGGTGTGTTTATTGTGGCTTGTGAATTGTGATTGTGGCTGTGGTTGTGTGATTAAACATGTGTTCAGAGCTAGCGCTGAGGAATGTCTAGTTGTTGTTGCTGTGGCTGTTGCACGCAATGTATCTTACTTATTGTCAACTCTTCTTCTTCTACTTTTCTTATCTTACAGAACAAGCGGCCGCACGTGGTCAGGAGTACGCCAACAGCTTGGCCAATGCCAGCGGCGATGAGCAATCGCCCAGCAAATCGAGTGCGGCAGCTGCGGCTGCTGCCGTCGAGCAGTCAGCAGCGCACAGCAATGGTCAATCGAATGGCAACGCCAACACCAACAACAGCAGCAGCAGCAGCAGTAACAATAACAACAATAGCAGCGCTGCCACGGCAAGCTCCGCCTCGAGCGCCACATCCTCCTCCTCCTCCTCGAATGCGCTGCAACAGCAGCAGCAGCAGCAGCAGCAGCAACAGCAGCAGCCGCCGCATCATCATGCCGCTTTGGCTGCCCATCAGCATGCGGCAGCGGCAGCTGCAGCGGCACATCACCATGCGGCTGCCGCAGCGGCCGCTCATCATGCCCATCACGCTCATGCGGCGCATCATGTGCACGCCCATGCTCACGTTCATGGGCATGGTCATGGCCATGGACATGTGCATCATAGCCATGAGGCGGCCTTTTTGGGCGCTGCAGCTGGCGCGGCGGCCAATCCGAACGGACTGCTAGCTGGCCATGGCGGCGGCGATGTGCTCGTTGGGCCTGGCGGCAGCGGACCCGGCGGCAAGAAGAAGAACAAGCGACGGCACGGACGCACCATATTCACCAGCAGCCAGCTGGAGGAGCTGGAGAAGGCCTTCAAGGAGGCCCACTATCCGGATGTCAGTGCACGCGAGCTGCTGTCCATGAAAACGGGACTGGCCGAGGATCGTATACAGGTAAGAGCTTAACACGTTGCACCTGCAGTGGCACGTGCCACGCCACAAAGATTTGCGCCAATGGCGTTCAATTTTATGGGCGCTCGTAAAGTTGGTGACGGCTCGTTCTGGTTTCTGTATTTTTTATGGGCGAGACACCAGACAGCAGAGAGCCGAGCGTGGAGAGTGGGGGGCAGAAATCAAAGGCAGCTGCAGCTTCGATTTGTTGCAAGTGTTGAGGCAGTGGCAGTGGCAATGAAAGAATGATAGAGTGGGGCACATAATGAGGCACACTGATTACATAATTACGAGTGCATACACACTCTTGCCGCAGCACAGCGCAGAACAATTCGAAATGAAGTAAGAAAACGTGGCAATCGGCACCCGTCGACACTCCAAAAGCATACAAAATGCTCGCAAATTGGAAAAATGCGACAACGATCGAGCGAAGTGCCAAAAGAAACCCCACAACTCCATGCTCCTTGCAACACTTTCACTTTGCAACACTTTCAATGAGCTTGCAACGCGAGTAATTGCGGCTCTGCAGCCTCTTCAAAAGGGTTGCTCGAATAGCAGCTAAGAATATTACAAATATATACATATAAAGATATATAAAAAGACAAAAAAGAGAGAGAGAGAGAGAGAGTGAGACACCCTTTCAAGAGATTCTCCATATCCATATAAGGACTTAATGCACACACTTTTCAGCAGAGCTCTACTTACAAATTCCTGGAGGTACAGATTTATTTTATTGCATACAAATTCAAATAGAATTTGATTCGATTTGAGTTTGATTAAGGTAAAGAAAATCTACAAAGATCAATGTATTCTTTGCTATAATACACTTTTATCTTAACGCCCATTAGAACCTCACTAAACTTTAAAGTAGTACGTATTTGATTAGTAAATAAATTATACCATAATTCTTTATTAGTCTAAATTCGAATTATTCTAACTACGCATACATATGAATGCGCTATCTCCCTCTCTCTGCCTTGCTGCCCGTTCTTTCTCCCTCCGCTACATACATTTTGGGCCACTTGATAAGCCGCAAGATGGCGCCAAGCAAGGCGAATTCGTTAGGTAAGGGGGTAATGACAGCTGTTGCCGCTGCTGCTTGTGAGGCCCACTTAAGGGGCGAGGCAGACTTGGAGGCTGGGCGGGCAAGCAGGGTAATGATAAAAGAAGTGACAGAAGCTGTGGTAGGGAGACGGCTGCTGGGAGGAGGACGAGATACACAGCACACAGCACTCAGCCGCAGCAGCATCAAATGAAAGCCCAACAAGTCAGTGGCCAAATGGCTGACGTTCACTTTTTCGCCCGTAGAGTGAGTGCATTGCTTTGTTTGTGTATGTGTATGTGTGCGTGCGTGTATGTGAGTGTGTATGCGCAAATCAAATTAACAAGCACAATTGGCTTAAAAAATAATACGTAATACGCGCAAGCAACATGAAGCACATACACACGCACACACGCACACACATATATACACACACATGCACTTCAATTAAGTGCAAATATGGCGCAGTCTGCGCACAGCTTGAAAAAAAGCGTTCGGGAATGGCAACGGGAGATTGTTGAGCGACTGCCACTGCAAGCACAGTGTGTTCGAGAGGGGCGTGCGAGGAGAGAGAGAGAGGGGGGTTTTGGGTCTTTGGCACTCGGCGGCGAGGCAATCATTAGCAACAGCGCGACACGACGACAAGAGCCAAGGATACGAATGCGAAATGCGACTGACGATGAGTGCAATTTTGAAGGGGCTGATGTGAAGGCGAAACGGGAGGGACGCGCGTCCATCGGCAATGGCAGCCATGCAAATACATGCAGACAACTGCAACAGCAACAACAACAACAATAGCAGCAACAACAACAACAAATCGAAGCCACCATTAAAAGTTCGCCTGGCTTTCGCGGCGCTCGTTCTCGTTGATTGTTTTTGTTTTTTTGCCTGCCGTTTTTAATTGCATTCCATTTTGTATGTGTTCCGCTGCCACTCTCACTATGCGTGTGTGCATTTTCGCCCCTGTGCTTGTTCTTGTTGTTGCTGTTGTTGCTTTTTTTTTTGCTTTTCTGCCTTTCTGTGACGCTGTCAGCTTATTTTTGCACATAGCTGTAAAGAAGCAAGAAGCATGGCCGAACGAAACATGTTTTTAGCTCACTCGCTCGCATGAAAATTGTCATCTCTTTCTCTCTCTCTTTCTGCCTATCTGTCTGACTCTCGTTTGGCAATGGCCGGCCGGCTGAGCTGTGTAACGGGAATTAACAAAATTTGCCGCTGTCAAAAATGAATGAAACTGACAGGCGACAATAGTGGCGACAATGTTTTTAGCTAACTGCCACTAATGAGCTTTGCACCGTCGATTAGCCACTTTGTTGGATGCTACGCTCTGTTTAGTTGTGCCTCGTTTGTCGCCTGTGTCTCTGCGTGTGCAAGAAATGGATGGCATGACAAGGACGGCAGATGCATGACAACACATCATTGTTTCACACACACACTGCAATTGGCTCTCAGCCTGTGACTCAGTTCCGTTCGACTGCTCCATTTGTGTTGTTGTTGTGTCATTGTTTCTTTGCGCTAATTTCAACACGCTCTCGTCCACATTTTTAAGTACACTTTAGCAGAAGCGAACGAAAAACATTAAAAAACAATGCAAACAAATTGCAAATGCATTAAAGCCGCATTCGCCATGCACTCAACCGCCTGTTGCAATTGCCCAGCTGAGGCACAATGAGGCAACTCTCAAAGCAAATCGCTCAAGCACCAACAATTTCGCCTACTTTAATACACACTTCTTGTCGCTAAGAGCTGTAACCATGTTGTTTGATTGCTTTGATAATAATAGTTGCGAACCTATTGATTAAGAGAAGAGTTTTCAAGTACGTATCGATTTATTGCAATCGATATGAAAGGAAAGCTCGCTTTCCAGCATATTCCATATTTTCAGTGCCTTTCACTTCATGCTTTCCCTGATTATGCCTTCGCCCCCTTCTAAACAAAAGTGTAACAAATACTTTGCATTTCATTAAAAATGTTTTCTATTTTATGTTCGTTGTAATTTTTTGCATAATTCGCAGTGCTCAGCCGCGTTTACACATTAATTATACACTTTACCCCCGCCGTCCCGTAATTTTTGCATTTTTGCATTTTCGCTGCGTTTTTAATGAGCTGTTAATACACCCTAGCACACCCTCGGACACATACACTGCGCGGAATCGTGTGCCAAAAATGATTATGCATAATTATGTAATTAACATTTAAACAAAGGAGGTTATGGCTATGAAACAAAAGCATTACACAAATTGCTATTCGCATTGTTTTTTTTCTCATTTTGCGTGCGCTTCATTAAAAGAGTGCAACAAAGGGAGGGCACGACGGGCATATACTGCGTAACTACCTCTAATATCTGGTATACGCAGATCCGACTACATATGCCTTTAAGCCTGTCTAACTCAACAATGATGTTAAGGCTCTTTTAGCTTATACTCTTAGCATAACTTAGAATACTTTTAGACTCTCAGAACTGCGCATTCCATGCAAACTTATCTAAAAACAGGCTTACTTGCAAACTACCCCAGCCAGATCTCGATTACAGGGTATTTGTTGCTTGGCAGATGATTAAATAAAAAGCTAGCGCACTTGTCCCAATCGCAATCCCAAACGCATTATATCATTACCAATCGACCGAACCCACACCCCTCTCCGACCCTCGCCAACTGCCCCGCCTCCTGCCTACTTTTGTTACACAATGTGGCAAACAAGTTGCGAGAACTAGGCGCATTTTAAAAAGACATTTATCAACGCATTAGCCACACTGATTGAGTTCAACCCCGCCCACAGGGCGGCGGGTGCTGGGTGGTTCGGTTTGGTGTTAAGTGTTGTCAACTCAAGCAGATTTAATTTGCCATGTTTGTCGCTGCTGCCCGAACTCTCAAGTGCAGTGGCAAACACGGCTAAACAACTGTAAATGCAAATGTTGACATCACACCAACAACAACAACAACAATAACCAGCAACAGCAACAGCAATACCCTCGCTTTAGTTTAGACAGCGAGCCGCGTGGCAGGCGAATTTAATGCGACCGCCGTCGACTTCTATTTTTATGGTCCACAGAGAATTGCGGCACATGCAGCAGCAGCAGGACACACAGAGACAGAGAGAGAGTGAGAGAGAGAGAGAGAGAAGTAGAGAGATAGAACGTAGTTATCTACCCTGGGAAAGCTTGAACATTTCACAACAGAAGATTAAGTTGTCCTTAGGGACACACACACATAGACACACACTGGCACACACACACACACGCCCACTTTACAAGTTGTCTGTGAAAATTGAAAATTGACCGTTTAACAGCGGCAAAGCAAGGCAAAGCCGCTTGCAACAATTCGTGGCACTAATAAGTACTTGAGAGAAAGAAGCAGAAGAAAGAATAAAATCAACGCGTGTCGCTGCATGGGCGTGGCAGAGAGGGTTGCGGGCTGAGCGTCGGCTGGGGCTGCTGCGTGACAAGTGGCATTTCGGCATTCGGCATTCGGCATTAAAGCGGCTCAGTTGAGGCAGTTGCGAACAGGCAAAAATAGACACTGCCACGCTGCCCCCCCCCCCCCCTCGTCGCCCGCGAGACCTAATAGATGTTGTTATTGTTCGTGTTGTTGCATTTAATTTAATTAGTTTTGGCTGCTTTGCTGCACTCTCCACCTCGAGTCCTGCTTTATCCATATATCCATATACGTGTGCATACGTATCTATAGACACATATATATTATACATGTATATATGTATGTATAGAAGGAAGTAAGAAGTCCTTGGCACACACAGAGCTTTTGTCATTGGCTTAGCTCTTGCTATTTATGCTTAATTATCGCATTTGCACTAATGAAATTTTCGCTATTCGCTTGACTGAGAGTTGGGCTAATCCGGAAAAGGATTTCGCTGTAGCAGAAGAAGAAGAAGCTCAGAGATGAGCAGAGCTCACATATCATTTGCAGCAATGTTAGAACTGACTGTGATTGATGGACAGACTGATTGGCGGACTGACTGGTTGATTGATTGACTGATTGAGTGACGATGATTGATAAGCTTACTCGATTGATTGATTGATTGACTGACTGTGATTGAACGACTATATGGCTGACTGATTGACTGACAGTGATTGATAAGTTTACGCGATTGATTGATTGATTGACTGACTGTGATTGAAACACTATGTGGCTCACTGATTGACTGACTATGATTGATAAGCTCACCCGTTTTATTGATTGATTGACTGACTGTGATTGAACGACTATATGGCTGACTGATTGACTGACAGTGATTGATAAGTTTACCCGATTGATTGATTGATTGACTGACTGTGATTGAAACACTATGTGGCTGACTGATTGACTGATTGACTGATTGATTGGCCGAGTGATTGATTGCTTAACCAACTGGCTGTCTGTGATTGACTAACTGATTGATTGATTGATTGATTGACTGACTGCAATTGATTGATTTCATTCCTTGACGAACTAATTAGCATATTGACAGACTGACTGATTGATCGAGTCATTGCCAATAAGACAAGCCAACTGACTGACTGTTACACTGACTGATTGACCGATTGATTGATAGATAGGATCTTCCCTCTAAGCTTCTAGTGTCTGGTGCAGCTTTCACCAACTGCAGAGTCAGCTTACTAATGAATTCTCCTTGCTCTTCTCTCTGCTATTCGCAGGTGTGGTACCAGAATCGTCGGGCCAAGTGGCGCAAGACCGAAAAGTGCTGGGGCCACAGCACGAAGATGGCCGAGTACGGCTTGTATGGGGCCATGGTGAGGCACTCGCTGCCGCTGCCGGAGACAATCATCAAGTCGGCCAAGGAGGATGAGTCCGTGGCGCCCTGGCTGCTGGGCATGCACAAGAAGTCGCTGGAGGCTGCCGAGCTGCTGAAGAGCGACGAGAGCGACAGGGAGACGCCCACCTCGGATGACACGAACACCTCCTACTCGGCGGGCAGCACCCACAACTCGCCCATCTCCAGCTTCTCGATATCGCGTCTGCTGTTCGATGCGCCGCCGCCGCCGGCAGCGGGCGGCAACAAGCAGTCGAAGCATGCCCATGCCCATGCCCATGCGGCCGCTGCCCATGCGCACGCCCACGCCCACGCACACGCCCACATCGCAGCAGCGAATGCCGCTGCGGCAGCCGCTGCCGCGGCCCATCAGCACCATGGCGATGCGGCAGCCGCTGCTGCCGCTGCAGCGGCCATGCACGCGGGCATGCATCATCATCATCATCATCATGGCCAGACGGCAGCCGCAGCCAGTGGACAGCAGCATCATCCGTATAACCAGCAGCAGCATCTGCATCACCTGCAGCAGCTACAGCAGCAGCAGCAGCAACAGCAGCAGCAGCAGCAACAGCAGCAGCAACAGCAGCAACAGCAGCAGCAGCAGCTGGCCGAGCAGCAGCAGCAGCAGCAGCAGGCGGCGGTGGTGCAGCATGCAATGCATATGCACCACCATGGCACCGCTGGCTATGCTGAGGCAGCTGTGGCTGCGGCTGCTGCTGCTGCGGCCGTTGCTGCTGCTGCAAACGCACGCAACGCAGCGGCCGCTGCTGCTGTTGCTGCCGTTGCCGTTGCCGAGTCGGAGCCGGACGAGGAGATCGACGAGGACGAGGATATGGATAAGGATTGCGATGCGGATGTCGATGCGGATGTGGATGCGGAGGCAGACAACGATGCGGATGTCGATGGCGATGCGGACGCCGATGGCGACATCGACATCTGCGACGACGAGGACGAGGCGCAGGCGCTGGCGCATCAGCAGCTGCTGCTCAAGGTCAAGCAGGAGCACATGAATGGCGGCGCAGCTAGTGGCGCAGGTGGCACAGAGGGCAGCAGCAGATGAAACATGTACATCGATGTTTTGTTTTAAGACACGCAGAGCGAGAGAGAGGCAGATAAACGAGAGAGAGAGAGAAAAAGAGAGGGAGAGTGAGAGATATTTATTGAACAAGCAGCAGGAGGGGGAGGAGGAGGCGGCACAGGAGCAGGAGCAGAAGCAGGAGCAGACGGCAATGTTAATTTTCTAAGCATAAATCTAATTAATTTAATTAAATCTATATATAAATATATATATATATATATATATATATATATATATATATATATATGTATGTATATCGATATATTCAAATCGATAACAATTTTTTTCATATACCTAAGAAACGCAACAACTAAAAAAAGTAAAAAAAAAAACATAATAAAAATATAAAATAAAACAAGTAAACAAAATGCATTCATCTAAACAAATACACATAAAATTATAATTAATTAACTTAACTTTGTTTTTTTTTTTTTTTTGACATCATGTAAATATTAAATTATTCAAAGACAACAAAACGAAAAGAAAATGCAAAAAAAAAAGAAGTAAACTTAAGCAAAAGTTAAACAACAAAACAAAATATGCTAAATGTGATTTAATTTAGTTTTCGAATCGATTGCAAATGCACCAGACGCAGCGGGCGCAGGGCAAGGGCGGAAGAGGAAGAGGAAGAACAAATCAAGGCTTTTTATGGTTTAAGCAAAAACAAAAAACACAAAACTTTTTTTTTTGCATAAAATTAGTATTAATATATATTATTATTATTAAAAATAATTTTTTTTTTGTAATTATTAAAAAGTGTCCACAATGTAAAATGTAGTTCAGAAAAATTAAAACTTAAATTAAATGAAATTAAATTGAATCAAATTAGAATCGATCGATCGATCAATCGATCAGCGCATTTTTCATTAAACCAGAGCAAGTCGAGCGCAGCCAGAGTGAAGCAAATCGGAACATGAATGTGTACATATAGACTATATATATATATACTAATATAGTAGTTGGATATCTCTATTCACTTGAAGAGACATTAACTACTTTGGAGAAGCTTAAGGTGTTTGATATGCAAAATGCTGAGCTACTTGTAGCGCTTGCAGTTATCAATAGTTATCGATATGTAAGCTAACTTCATTCTTCATTCGAGCTGTTGTCGATAATTATCGATCTATAACTAGTTAATTCTTTATTTCGACTATTATGGATACATAAACTAGTTTAATTCCAAACCTATACCAATTAATATCGATATTTATCGATCCATAAATGATTCTATTCAAATTCTCTTCTCTAACTGCTGTCGATGCTTATCGATACATACCCTAATTTCAGATATAATCTCTCGTGACTATATATATTCGATCATATTGATCTACACAACATTGGCATCTGAATCAGGCAACAGGAAACATTCGCTTTATTAGCCAAACTTTTAATGAAATTAGTTGCAAGTAAAATAATTTTTTTTATGAAGAATGCAACAACAGCAACAGTTGAAATAAACAAAAAATATATCGTAAATATATACATACGTAATTTAGATGAAAATCAAATTAAAGACATGCAATATAAATACATTTAAATTTAAAGCAAAAAAAAATGTTTTTATTTTTAATGCAGAGAAAATGGAAATTTCCTAAAGTCGGCTATAGTGCTCTCGAGTCTAAACATTGAACAGGCTGGTGGGCTGATAAATATTTGAGATTTGAAATTTATTTTAATCTACTGATTTGAATTTTTTCAAAAATGAATTTGAATTTTGCTTTTGAATTTGGCTTTTGGCGCGTGTATAACAGTTTTGCCGCGCCACCTATGTGTCAATACGTATTAAATAATCTGGCAGCACACGTAACATTTTTCACACATAACACATAGATGGCGTCTTGAAAGCAAGCACAACTGTCACGAGTGTCTAATTCTCATCGAAATGGAGATCGTTAAAAATTGTATTTAATGAATATAAAATGATAAATAATTTGTATTAATGGGCAACATTTTGATTAAATAAAAAAAAAAGATGAGAAACAAAGCAAATCGCTGCTTAAAGTATGTATTTTTTTAATAACCATTCGAGCTGTTTGCGCTGAGGTTCGAACCACGTGCACAAAAACAACTCGTATGATGTGCTGCTGCAGTTATTGCCATACATTTGTAGTGGGCTTTGGCGCTGAACGTTGAGTTGCGCCGTCTACTCTCAGACAATCATGCCTTGTTGTGTCAGGTTGTTCCAGGTTCGGTTTTCTGTCAGAATTTTGGCTTTGGGCTATATAAGGAAACGAAAATAATTGTGTGTAATGATGTTACGCCAATAGAATTTTACAATTACTACTTGTTATCGTCTTCCACCATCGTCTGTGCTTTTCTCATGTTATTTGCCATTGATGATCCTCTCCTCATTATTACACTTCATAGAGAGAGCAACCGAACCCCCAAACGCCACGCGCCGTTTGTTCATCAATTGCAAAATGAGCGTGCCAGTGTATGAAACATACATTGCTTGGGGGATATTAAAGAATTCTCCGCAGGAAGCCGAGTAACGTCGTTGAATTTCATATTCTAGACTCTCGGTGCCGAATGAAACGAGAAACAAATTCCATATTTTTTCCTTTATTTTTTAAATTATTTTTTTGCTTTATAGAATGTTTATTTTTTTCTATTAATTTATAAGACACTTCTTATAAAATATTTTTTTGTGTATTAAAAATAAATATTTATTACTTTTATATATAGCAAACACTATATAAAAGTAATAAATATTTATTTTTAATAAACAAAAAATTATTTTATAAGATGTGTTTATAAATGAATAGAAAAACATTTTTTATATGCATATTTTTGTTAATTTAATATTATTTTTTATTTAAGATTATTCAATATAATTTATTTCTGTCAAATAATACGAAAAACAAATTTTGCATGTATGATGTATGTTTATGTATGTCGGGCGAGTGTCGCTGGGGAAATCAGCCTTGGATGGGAAGAGTCTGAGAAGATAAGTAAGAAAAAAGCGAAATTGAAATTAAAAATTAAGAAATTAAAAAAGCGAATGTCATTTCCATTTGTTGACTTTGGCAAAATGGGGCATAAATCAGAGAACGATGGGACGTGGGATACTTCCGTGCTGCTGACGCAGTCCATAAACATATATAAATACAAACATATATAGAGAGTGAGAGAGGGAGATGGACAGAGAGACAGACACATGCTTTGTAGCTCTCTCCTGTGACACAGATGCGTGCGTGCGCCAAGAGTCAAGTGCGTGGGCCTGGACCTCTTTGGCCCGCAGCCAAGTTGAGTGCAAAGAGGGTGGGGTGGGGTGGAGGGCTGATGCCTGTCTGTCTGTACGACTGAGTTGTCTGCGGCCGTGTGTCGCTAATCTGTGCGGCATTATAAATTGAACCGATCTGGTTGCGTGTCATAATTTATTTGCCGCTTTGGAGGGCAAGGGCAAAGCGAGTGAAAAACAATACGCACAAGCAGACTTGAAATATTTCATAATTAGCACAAATAAATAATACAAAAGTTTCATATAAGAAGATCCAATTAAATTAGCTAGATTGAGTCTTATACTGCTTACTCTTTCAGTCTCTTTAACATATTATACTTATAATTCGACCACCAATCAGAAGAAGTCAGTATAAGCTTGTATATAAGCTCTTATATAAATGTGTGTAAGAGTTATACAAGTATATACATTTGCTGCATTACGCGCAGCTTAGCCCGGTTACAAACCATTGCTTTCAGCTTGTGTGCAGCATTAAGCATAAAATAGTAAGCACAAACTCTTATATACAAGCATGTATATAAGAGCTATGCTTAGACATATGCGCATATGCCTATTAATATAACATTACATATACAGCCACATACTGCGCAGCTTAGTCAAGTTTTCAACCTCAGAGTGCAACTCCGAACTTCAGCTGTGTGTTGGGAGGAGCCCTTAATCAACACGCAAACAGTTAGTTATCTTATAATTATGCGTAGCTTAGCTTAGTTCCCAACCACACCATGCAGCACTTCATGCACTACTTTGTGAGAAGGGAGAGCGGAATCACCAAGCAAACAGCTAGGCAATCAGTACACAATCATATAAGGCTATATAGGCACATATGTGTGCTAGCATAACATTATCTTATAATTATGCGCAACTAAGTTAAGTTTCGAACCACTGCATGCAGCTTATACTCCAGCTTATGTGTAGCAGACAGCTTTAAGCGCATACAATAAGCCAAGTCATCAAAGTAACGGCCTAGATCGGACATATATGCGCACACACAGCCGTCAGACTCACTTCGATGTCAATTGCCAAGACAAAATCGTGCCACTAATTAGTTTAGAGCAACTCAGCGCATTTCCATTTGCTGCGGGGCGTCACGAGATGGACAAATCTCGAACATGTGTTCAACACAATTGCGCTATTCGAATTGCCTAAAAATAAAATGCGATTTGAGCCATCAACGCTCGACACTTGCAGCGGCTGCTGCTGCTGCAGGCTGACTAATGCGCCGAAATGTGAGAAAAATCGCCTTTTCTTCAAAAGAAAAGAAAACATTTTAGAGCAGAGCAAAAATGAAATGAAAAATGCGCGGCACATGCCGCTTATTCACAGCAAATACAACAAAACGCTCATAAAAATAAAAACAAAAAATTCATCGAAAATCGAAAAAACCAAAAACCGAAAAACAAAAACCAAAAACCGAGCAAAATCGACAAAATGCCCCGCAAAGTGTCAAAAAATGCGTCAAGATCAAAGCGAGCTACAAATTTCACCGCCAGTTGGCGAATGCAACGATAAATTGGCCACAAACACACACTCACACACACACACACACACACACCTATGCCTATATGCTTACATTTGTTCATACTCTAAGTTTGGGGCTTAGCGCTTTGTTTTATGTTTATTTATTTTTTAATAAATTAAATAAAGTAATTAAGAAACTACAAAAGTCATATTTACATATTTATGATTATTTGTTTTTTTTTTTTTCTTAATTTAATTTTTATATATTACTTAATAATTTGTATTTAATTTTATATATTTTTTGTTATAGCTTTCATATATTTTTTATTTTATATATATATATTCACTTAAATAAAATT